AGGAGAAAGATTCATTATGTTTAACATTGACCAATACAGTCCAAGAGGAAAAGATTACTTCAACAAGATGTTTCCAAGAGTTATGGCAAAGTTCATTGGACAGATAGACCTTTTCAAACAGAAGTGGACATTCTATTACGACTTTGATGAGAAGAGAAACATTTTGCGTCATTTGAACATCAATACAATGGGATCATTAGTTCATCAGTTACTTAATGAAGCTCCAATAGCAGAAGTACAAGAATTAGCATCTAAAGTCCTTGAATCAAACTATGACTTCTTCCTTTGTAGTATTCCTTCGTTAAGGAAGATCGAGATCTTTGACTATACAGCTTATTCAGATGTTGATGCTTCTGCTTTGAGAAAAGGAACGTACACACCATATAAACTCACAGCTGAAGAACAAGTTATGTTAGATACGATGAGAGCAGCAGGTCAAGAAAAGATCGCACTCAAGATCATCAAACAAAACCATTCAAAGAAGAGAAACAGGTCACGTAATGGTCAGCTTTGGACATGGACATGCAAATTACCTATTAACTTAGAGAGGTATCAGATCTTCAACGAACTTAATGCAGAGACAGCAAAGAAGATGATGAAAGATTCATGTTTCATCTACGCTTGTATTCAAGCTGGTGTTGACGAAGCAACAATTAATCATATGAGGGAAATCATTCGTGTCAAAGATTTTCCAATGTCAAAGATTAAGGTTATTGCCAAAGAAACAGGAATAAGGTTCCATGTCATCAAATACAACGAGAAGTATTCAAATCATTCATATACTTATGAACCAGATGAAGAACCAAAGATGACAGTAGAACTTTTATTAATGTATGACCACTACATGTTGAACGAAAAGCTTCCAATAAGTTCAATGTTCATCAAGAACTATGAAGATGTTTGTAAGTTGTGCAAGGATTGGACTTTAGAGAAGAAGATGTTAGTTAACAGAAGATATGAAACAAGGTATGCAATTAACTCAAAGTTAGTTACACCACTTGCAAAAGTCATTGAACTCTTGTTTGCTAACAATTATTTCGAACCAATTAGAACAGGAGAACTTTGCACATACTTCACAACGATGTATAATGAGAACCTTGAAGAAATGATTGACCTCACATACAATGAGCGTTATTGCGCAAGGATGAAGAAAGATTGGAGTTCAGAGACGAAGAAAGACATGAAGTTCCCAAGAGAACATGTTTTCTTTGCTGACTTCGAAGCATCAACTGATGGAAACATTCACAAAGCATACAACATTTGTTTCATGGAAGATGACGATGATGGTTATACATCAATTTGGGGAAGTGACTGTGCGTCAAAATTCCTCGAAGCTTTACCAGATAAGAGTTTAGTTTATTTCCACAACTTATCGTACGATGTCACTTTTCTCATGTCTCAGTTAGAAGAGATTACAGGAACTCCAATCATCAAAGGTTCACAAACGATGCAGATACAAGGAAAGTACAAAGGAAAACTTCTCTGCTTCAAAGACTCTTATGCAATCATCTCAACTAAGTTGGAAAGATTCCCTGAAATGTTTCACCTCACTAGTGGTGAAAAAGAAGTTTTCCCATATAATTACTACACGGAAGAGTTAGTTAATACAACTAAAGTTGGTAACATCGATGATGCCATGAATCATGTCAAAGATATTGAAGCTTTTAATGAGAACATTGAGAAGATTGAAGATTGCAAGATTGATGATGAACACTTTGACATGGAAGTTTATTCGTCATTCTATTGCGGTCAAGATGTACGCATTTTACGAGATGGCTTTCTTAAGTTCCGCAATGACCTCATGACTGAGTTTGAAATAGATGCTTATGATTATGTTTCAATAAGTTCTATCTCAAACAAACTCTTTGAGAAGAGAGTATATTGGAAGAACGGTAATCTCTTTGATCTTGCAGGAAAACCTCGTGAATATATTTCCAAGTGTATTCAAGGAGGAAGATGCATGCTAGCTGAGAACAAGAAGCAATACAATGAAGGAGAACTCATCACTGACTTCGATGCTGTATCATTGTATCCATCAGCAATTGCTAGACTTTACTGTTTAGAAGGAATTCCAAAAGTTATGACAGAAGAGATGAAGAGCAGTGAATACTTGTTGGAGCATCTCTTTGATGATGACCAAGCTGAACCAACAAAGGAAAAGTTCATCTCAGGATTTTACTGTCAGATCGAGATCTTGTCGATCGGTAAGAACTCAGCATTCCCATTGATTGTCGTCAATCCTGACATCAACCCTGACTTACATGTTGCCAGAAGTTCCAATACATGCTGCAAGATGTTCGTAGACCACATTACGCTTCAAGATCTGATCAAGTTCCAAGAGATCTCATGCAAAGTCATTGATGGATACTATTATGATGGAAAAAGGGACATGACAATAAGGAATGAAGTTAAGAAGCTCTTCGAATTACGTGCTAAGTATAAGAAGGAAGGTAATCCGATACAAGAGATCATCAAACTTCTTTTGAACAGTATCTATGGTAAGACGATATTAAAGCCCATTGACAAAAAGATTCGTTTCATCAAGGACAATAAGCTCACTGACTATATCATTAAGAACTATAATGACATACAGACAATAGAGTTCATCCCCGATTCCGAACTTTCATGTGTAAAGTCATTTAAACCTATCGTTCGTCACTTTAACTATTGTCCATTAGGTGTTTCAATCCTTTCTATGTCCAAACGAATCATGAATGAAGTATTCTTCACAGCAGAAGATTTGGGCTTGAAGTTGTTCTATCAGGATACAGATAGTTTACACTTGTATGAGAAGGACTTAGATAAGTTAGCAGAAGAATACAAGAGAAGGTATAACAGAGAACTCATTGGAAAAGCACTGGGTCAATTTCATTCAGACTTTGCAGAGATTACTGCAGGACATATGTCTAAGGCACAAAGATCTATATTCGTTGGAAAGAAGACTTACCTCGACGAATTAACCAATGACCTCAAGGAAATTGCTTTCCACTGTCGAATGAAGGGAATCACACAGGACGTAATTGCACTTACTGCAAACCAAATGTTCCCAGATGCGATACAAGTACATTATGACGAGAAGAAAGGTTTGTTCTTCCCTGAGAAAGTTGGGGAAAAATATAGCATCGTGGAATTGTACAAATCTCTTTATGAAGGTGATGAGATAACCTTTGACTTGTGCATTGGTTCGAAACCATGCTTCAACAAAAATAAGGACTTCACTATTTCAACGAAGTCATCTTTTGAACGTAAGTTAAAGTTCTAAACACTTACTTATTATTTTTCTTAGCTTCTTCCTCTTCTCTCAATTTCTTTGCAATCATTCGTGGATTCTTTGCGCGTCCAGCTGCTAATGCAGCTAATTGTTTCTCTGTGAGTTTACGCTTTGGTTTAGCTGGTTTCTCTTCTTGTGTTTGTTCTTTTGGTTTGAGTTCATTAAGTATTTCTTCACGAAGTTCATTCTTGAGTGCTTCTCTGTCGAAAGTATTCTCAGTCATTTTGTTAGGAGTAAAAAATTTTATTAGGATAGAAATGACGTCAAAACTTTCACCAAGTGAAAAGCAATCAATCATATTGAATGAAGCTAAAGGAATACAACATCCATTATATTATGTTTGTCATATGAAGAATGGTTCAGTTCAAGTTAGAAAGAGAAAGGCACCATTGAATTCACCAGCTCCTGCCCCAGCTCCTGTTGTTCAAGAAGCTCCTAAAGTTGATGAGAAGAAAGAAGAAGAACAAGCATATACTAATAAAATGTTGTTAGAGATGATGACAAAGATATTAGAACGTAACAGTGTAGTTAATGAACCAAACATGGACCCAATTGAACGTGAGAAGGAAACTAAAGAGAATCAAGAATATGTTCAATCAATGGAAGAGAAAAGAATACACTTCGATGATGAACCAGAGCCTGAACCAGAACCTCCTAAACCTCAGCCACAAATAAGACGAATAATCCCAAGAATAAGAAGATTGTAAATTTTTTATAGCTGAGAAAGATGTTGAACGATAACCTCAATACATACAGTATTGCTGATTCCATCAGACAAGTAAGATATTATTTCGATCAAGTTGATGGGGCAGTTCCTATTGGAGATACTAACCATAGATATGTCCCAACAAAAGTGCCAGCTATGCCGACAAATACTATTGATAACGGTTATATTACATTTAACATATCACCACCTGGTGAGAACATGATTGACTTATATAATACGTTCATTAGTGGTTATGTCGATGGTGAGTGCATAATTACAACAGAAACTGAACCAGCTGATGAAAAAGTTCCTAAATATGATGGTGAAGTATATAAAGAAAGAGCTGTTGAGACAGCTCCTACAGGATCAAATGTTACAGCAATTAAAGCAATTGATACTAAATATGCTGGTGGCAAATCATGTGCACATCTTCCAGCAATTTGGTTGGGATACATTGATTCATTCTATGCTGTTGAATCATATCAATTAATCGCTAATGGTAAAAGTGTTTATACACAAGATAATGCTAGAGAAGAAGGTTACATTACTTCTACTGCATCTACAACAGAAGCTATTAAGAAAGTTGATGTATTTAGTAAGGCTAGACATAAAGATGTTTTCAATAGATGTGATACAGTTCGTTCTGGACAGATTATTGAGTTCAATAAACCAATTAGTGGTGCAACTACATTAAAGTTCCACATACCAATCAAGATTGACCTAAGAAGATTCCTAATACTTAATAACATTAGATTCCTTCCAGCGTTTGCTGGTAACTTACAACTTAAGGTTAAGTTCAGTATTGCTGGTATGGTTTGGACACCATTAAGTTATCAGGATATTCTACCATTACCGAACATGCAAGCCAATGTTACAAGCTATATTCCAATCACTAATCACTTCACTCCTATCTATGAAGGTATCAAAGTTATTGATACTGTAACTTGGAATGCCGATAAGAGTACGATATCATTTGGTACCAAGTTTATTAAGTTCACTAAGAAGAATGCAAACTTCTTTGAAATGATTACATACTGTAACTCATTCTCTTTGGACCCTAACATCTATAGTGATTTGGTGGCAAGATATTCGGCAAAGACTCTAAACTTCCCAATCAAAAGAATTGACTGCATTACTATGGATGGTTCAATGGCTAAAGGTGAAGGAACTCCTTGTACATTCACGGCAGCATTTACTCCATTATATGTGAACACCATTTATACACTATTTAAGAAAACACCTAATTATAACACTACCTATGAAAATCCATTGTTTGAACAAATTCAATTGAACTGTGGAGCATATGGTAACATACCCGCTGAGGCTCAAGCATCTAATGATCCAATCTTCTATGAGATGCAGGCAAATGCCACTAACAATAATAACGATACTGTTGGCTTCAACTATGATGTCATGAGGTCTATCACAACCACATCAGTCCCTCAATTTGGAATCGAGTCAAATGACTTAGGTCATTACCTATGTGGATTCCCTTGCGAAACTGATTATACATTCCAACAGGGTCAGTTATCTAATTCACCTATTACATATAAGCTTACAGTTAAGCCAACAGCAGAGTCTATTAAATATACTGAGAAACCAGTGTTATGCTTCTTACGTCACGTTTGCCTCTCCATACAGATTAAACCTGTGGGACCACCTATCGTACTTCTCGACGATTATGATTTATCAGCCCCTGCTAGTGAATAAAGGTTAGTTTACATATGAACGTTTATTTTTACACATATATGCGTACATATGCGCGCCCGTATGGTGTCAGTTTTCTGTCACTTTTTTCATTGTGTCGGTGACTGTAGCTGTAGGCTACAGGCGACGCACAATGTATACTGTACTTAAACTGTTAGCATAAGCTCATCAATGCACATGCATGGGGTCATAGTGCATTGGGTTTAGCTGCTTTATGAGTTCTATATAAATTTGAATAGGATTGCATCAATTCACATTGAAAAATTGCTTTATGTTAAATACACTCTTAGGTTAAAGTCACATCATCTTATGTGCGCATTGTTTACTACAAATGAAACGAATTTTAATCGATAATTTTAAAAAATAAAAAAAATTCAAAATTTGTTCCCGAAAAACATATTATTTTGTTACATGTATGAATAACAATATAAAAATACATTTAAAACAAACAGGCATTAATATTAATGCACGTTTAAAAATTCACATGATACCAAGATCGACTTGAAACCTTGGCAAAAAAAGGAAGTTTGCATCAGAAATATCACAATTTACATAGGGTCAATAAAGAAGATTGCTCGACTTGCCTTAAATGAAGTTTTTCATAAAAAATTTCAAATATATACCAGCATGTAACAGTAGAGGTCAAAAAGATAGCACGGAACATTAATAATTATCAATTTACCAAGCACTTCTCTGCTCCAAAGCGATGATTTTACCTTATTTTGTTTTGATAAAATTGCGTAATGCGTAATTTTGGAGAAAATTTCAATGTAGTATCAAGCTAGATAAAATACTAAATCTGATTTCCAACTCGAAATCCAACAATCTCTATATTTTATAACCTTGTTGTCAGATTGTAAACTATTCAATGTCTTAAAAAACGTATATTTTTTTGAATGTCGTGACGATAATTTGAGAAGACCGAAAACTAGTTCGGCGGTTACCCACAAAAAGTTAGTTTACATACTCTGCACGGGCGTGATCCCTCAATTTTTTCTCAGACCCTAGATTTTTTTTCCGGTAGTACTACAAACTCGTTTTCATTACCTTCGCGCCAATTCATAATATCAACATATCTTTATTTCAATTACAGCAAAGTAGAACTTCATATGAAGTACTAGGTAGTGAATTATAATGACTTATCCCTGAACATAGAAAAAATTGAGAGATTGTCAGAAAGTGGTAATTGCACCCTTAAGTTTAAAGCAAATAAAAAAAAAAAAAAAAAAAAAAAAAAAGGGAGTGGGGCTTCCAGGCACTTCGTGCCCTCTAGCCCTGAAGATGTTTAGTATAAATGAAGTTTTTATTCGGAAAATTGTTAGTCTTCTTGGTCGAAAACATTATATAATGTTTCACTTTTCACAAATTATATATGTTTTCATGTTTTGTCAAGACTTCTTCTTCGTAAATGTTTTGTCAAGACTTCTTCGTAAATGTTTTGTCAAGACTTCTTCGTAAATGTTTTGTCAAGACTTCTTCGTAAATGTTTTGTCAAGACTTCTTCTTCGTAAATGTTTTGTCAAGACTTCTTCGTAAATGTTTTGTCAAGACTTCTTCTTCGTAAATGTTTTGTCAAGACTTCTTCGTAAATGTTTTGTCAAGACTTCTTCGTAAATGTTTTGTCAAGACTTCTTCGTAAATGTTTTGTCAAGACTTCTTCGTAAATGTTTTGTCAAGACTTCTTCGTAAATGTTTGTCAAGACTTCTTCGTAAATGTTTTGTCAAGACTTCTTCGTAAAATCAGACAAAAATAATGTTTAGGTGAAGAGGTGAGATTTCACCTGTTTTTTCACCTCATTTCTCACCTCTTGAATTTTCATGAAATTTACACCAAAAATATATTTTAGGTGAAGAGGTGAGATTTCACCTGTTTTTTCACCTCATTTCTCACCTCTTGAATTTTCATGAAATTTACACCAAAATATATTTAGGTGAAGAGGTGAGATTTCACCTGTTTTTTCACCTAATTTTTCACCCGTTGAATTTTCATGAAATTTACACCAAAATATACTACTAGGGTCATTTACGAAGAAATCTCAACAAAGTCTTTACGAAGAAATCTCAACAAAACATAGACAAGAAAGTTCATGAGAAATTAGATGAAGAATCTCAACAAAGTCTTTACGAAGAAATCTCAACAAAACATAGACAAGAAAGTTCATGAGAAATTAGATGAAGAAGTCTTAACAAAGTCTTTACGAAGAAATTCATGAAAATTCAAGAGGTGAGAAATGAGGTGAAAAAAGAGGTGAAATCTCACCTCTTCACCTAAAATATATTTTTGGGTCATTTACGAAGAAATCTCAACAAAGTCTTTACGAAGAAATCTCAACAAAGTCTTTACGAAGAAGTCACAATAAAGTCTTTACGAAGAAGTCACAATAAACATCTGTCAAAAACCGCTTTTTAACTTCACTTAAAATGCCACGTAAGCTACGTAAGAATATACGTAAGAGGAAGAGAGCATTGAAACATCCAATAGTAAGACTAACACCACAACAACAGTTGCAACAACAAATGCTGAATGACCCCACTATGTTGCAACAAATGTCAAGCAATCCTATGCTTTTAAACCGAGTTGTTGGTGCACAGAGTGGAGGTTTAAGAGGGCCTTTTAGCGAAAATGGCAGGCTATGGTGAGAGCTGCAGACGGAACAGCATATAACCCTCAAAGTCAAATGAATTTGAGTTCACTCAAAATCAAATAGCAGATGTCAAAAAGTCAAACATAGACATACAGAAGCAAATAGGTGAAAACGAAAAGAAACTAGAATATGACAGACACACAAAGAAACTCAATGAGTTAAACGTAGAGAAAAGAAGAAAGAAGAACAACTGAAAGAACTAAGTACAGAGGAATATGCGAAAAAAGTGTCAGAAAAAGCAGCAGAAGTAGCAAAAATGGAACAAGATGTCATAAATTTGAAAAACCATACTACTCGATATAAAGTACTGAAAGATGAAGAGATAAAACAAAAAGCCCTGAAGACATATATGGATAGCGATGAGTATAAAAAAGAAGTTGAAGCAAATGTAAAGGCAGAAAAACTTTTACAGTTGCAAAACCAAACCGTACAGTATGAAAACTTAGCACAAGAAAGTAAAAATAACGACGCAGCCATGCAAAAGGCAATGAAAAGCGCAGAATATATAAAAGCTAACAATGACTGGTTAGATGCCCAAGCCAACGCTAAAGCAGCCCAACTCATAGGGTCAATAAGGACAAAAATACAAGCGGATGAAGACAGTTCAAATGAAGCTTTAACAAATGCTGACTTTAAGAACGCCTTCGAAGCTCTTCATAGTAAGGTGAAACAAGTGAACGACTTCTCATCTGGAAAGAAACTGAAGTCTGAAGGTTTCGACAAAGAGTTAAAAGAAGTAGCACAAAATATGACGAAAATAACAGATGCAGCAACGAGACAGGCAGTTCAAAGTGCCTATGACGCCGTTAGAGCAACTGTTGTGGAAAGTCAAGAAAAAGAGTTACAACAGACCAAAAACAGACCTAGTAAATGCTTTCTTAAAAACGAAAAGTCAGGTAGGACACTATGCTGCAGATGGAACATATGTGCCAGCTGGTGGAACTTATATACCACCAAACCCTCCAAGAGAAGCACCTGCACCAGGACTACCTAAAACATTTACATCGTCACATGGACACAGACACAGGCATGCACCAAAACCAACACAACAACCAGCACAACAACCAACAGTTCAAAATCCAGCACAACAAAAACCAGAAACAGAGCAAGGACATAAAAGAAGTAGAGAACAAGGAAACCAAGATTCTTAAAAATGCTTAAAGAAGAGTGTGGTTTCCCAGATAGTATTGACTTTAGTGACAGATATAAAGAAGCTATTAGAAAGTTCAAGGATGGAAATACTGACCCGGACCTATTTAGCTTTATGGCTCAGCACCAAAACGGATATAATCTCAAACCTGGAAAATACAAGCTCGCTAAGGGATATGATTTAATAGCATATCATCCAAATGACATGGATGAATTTACTCCGAGATATTTGATGTCAGAGCTAAATGACAATTCAACTTTCGTCATGAAACGCGTAAAAAATAGAGACGGAACGAAAGAACAAAAGCTTATGAATGCGGATGACGTAGATAGGGAAATTGTTGAAAACGGTCTCGGAATATATGAAATGCCAGCAGATGAGGTACAAGAACTCCACAGGAAGAAGTTCAGATACAACCAGACATGGAAGAAATAGTTCAGCAACAACAGCTAGAAGAGCCTGAAGGAAACGAACAAGTCCCTCCTTTGGAAACTAACTTCACAGAACTAGATGAAGATTTGGAACAGCCGAAAAATCTTGACCCTCAACAAGAGTATGCGGAGAATATGGAATATTCCAAGAGTCTAAAAAAAATTCGGCTGACATAGTAGAAGAATATCGAAAAATGTTTGCCGACATACAAAAGACTCCAACACCAGATGAAAATATTCAGCATAGAATGGAAGTACTGAAAGAAAATGTACACAAATACAACAACCCTTTTTACTTACGAGCATTTAACGTTCAATCTTCGGATGAACTCGGTGAAAATAAAAGGTTAAATTTCAAGAAAACATATAGAAATGAAACATTGTTTAAAGTTCATTCAGAACCTAACCAAGATGGAAACAAACCTACTTTTGTTTCTGCAGACGATGGAACTACAATGAGATGGGGTCATAAAGCTAACCCGGATAGGTGGTTCATAAACTTACAACCACAATTCCAAGAAGTTGTAGACGCAATGGAAGTCAATGGTGAACCAGATATAGCTGGTATTTTAAGCGCGGCTTTAATGCCATTGAAAGATATGAAACATGCAGATATTTTGGACCAGTATGAAATGAACATGGCTGATGGAAATATAACACCTGACGTTCTAGAACATTTATCTCAAAGAACTACACAGAACCATAGAGATGGTATATTTGGTGAAGAGTTTAGAAAGAAAGTTAGGGAGAGAGAAGGAAGAGAACCTATTGTACATGACCTTGCAAACGAAAGTTTACAAAATGTCATAAAAACTTACTTTGCAGACAATGAAATGAGAAGGGATGAATATTTAAGAAAACTCAAATGGACAGTACAAATGAAATGTTAGTATTGAAAACATGTTCCTTGACAAAATAAAACCAACTACAGAAATAAACGACGCAAGACTGAAAGATTGGGTAAAAGCTTTCCCATTCACAAAAGATATAGTTGGTAACATGGAAAGAAAACCAGAATGGCTACAAAAACATATATTTGGAAACGAGCTTATTCCATATGGACAGGCACTGTTTGAAGCGCTTGAACCGGAAACTCAGGAAAGAGTCATGCAAACAATACGCGAAGACTCAAATACAAACTATGACAAACTCTTTCTAGGATATAGGTTACCTGAGATGGGCGACCAGAGCCCAAAGGCAAAAAGGACATGGGAAATTTGCAACATACTAGGTGAACATGATGCAAAGATGCAACAACTTCAAGCAGAGGGCAATGAAGGAAAAGAAGAGTTAAAAACTCAGTCAGGAAGAAAGTAAAGCTTGTCGGAGTGGGTTCTATTATGACATATAAATCCAACTATTCTATATTTTTACTCATATGAAATGTACGCCGCTCAGAATATAACGCCAACAGTTTTGGATGCCATGAACGGAAATGTTTCCGAATGGTATAACGAATGCGACAATGCCATTAGAAGGTCAGAAAATAGTTCCTGGAACTTACGAATATACAACTGCTGTTTCTTATGGAAACGTAGGTGAGTTTGGAGAAGGTTCTTCAACAACAGTAGATATTGCTTGCGACAGGTTTCATATAATTTCTATTGACAACTCTTTCTTATAACGTGGAACAAGACATTGAAATAAAACCTTCTGCCAAGTTGTCTGACAAGAAAGGTTGCAATGGAATTTTCTATGTCGGATACCAAATATGCTCCAGAAGTTTTCATGGGATATAAGATATATTCTAACTCTGACTTAGTTCAAACAGTAACATGGGCAAACTATGAATGGTTCGCTTTGAGAAACTCAGTACAACCACAAGCTAGAGAACAAACAGACCAGTATGCAACTATTGAGAAAATAAGAAGACTTGACCCTAACGTTCCAGGAGTTTATGTTAACCTTTCTGGACAAACTGCAGCAGCAGTAACCAAAGTAAAACTGAAACTTAGAGTTCCTTTGTCATCTTTCCTCATCTTCAGGTTTTTAAGATACTTGCCAAACTGGGCAGGAAAAATTTCTATCGAACTTACTCCAAGCAAAAATAACTTAGTCATTGCACCAACACAAGACCCATTCACTCTTACTGTAGCTGGAACTGGTGGAGCCAAGTTCTGTGACTTTTGCAAAGACAAAAAGTTGACTTAGACTTTGGTTTCTCAAACCTCAACACTGAAGTAAACTACTACTTCAATGCTGCTGGAACTGCTTGGGACCCAGTTAAGTTCACATGCGAAAAGTTTGAATGCAAGAGAATAGAAAGCAGACTTGCAGTCTATATGTTGGACCCAGATATTTCAAATGCTTTAGCTGCCAAATATATTGCAGTTCCACTTATGTTCCCTATACACCAAATATCTGTCAAAGACTTTGCAGGTGAAGTTGGAAACCAAAGTGCTGACCCAGGTGCAAGAACAGATATTGCCTTAACAACTGCAATGAAACATGCAGATACTATGTTTGTACTGTTCAGACGAACTATAAATGACTATTCTTGTTTCTACAACAACCTGGTATTAAATACCATATAAACATAGATGGCAAATATTATCCAAGAGAAGAATATTCTACAGTTGAGGATATGAGGTCATACAACTTGACATTAGATGCTATGAACTTTAACAACAACTTCACAACAACCATTAACCCTGAAATGCAAAGTTCTATTATGCCATATGTGAAAGTATGGACTCATACAGGAGGTCAAAAAACTCAATATACAAATGGAGACCGTTCAAACTTTTGGCTTGGCATTCCATTTGCTGACTCAGAAGACTTTATGGGTGGTATTTCAAACTGTTGGTACTGTACAAATACAATATACTGGTGACAGAGACGGTCCAGATGAATTGAAAGCAAAGAAGTTTACAAAACCAATAGCACTTTTCACGGAAGATGCTCTTTTGAAGATTCGTTCGATGAAACCTGCTGGGGCTCCTCAGATTGGCATAACGACAGCTTCCATCGAGCAGATTTTGGCAGCAGGTCAGTAAGTTGTTCTTGAACTGACTTCTCTCCGTCAAATATTGACAGTACGCCAGTTTTGACATAAAATTGTATTATAAACTTACCTTTAGAAATATCGGTCAGTTTTGTGTTATATTTTTGTCTGCTTCAAGAACTTTCACCATCTCGGTTATACCAACTTTCTTTGCTTTATGAAAATATTTTGGTTCAGCAAATATTGCTATTCTATAACATTTTCCATTGTTTGTGTAAAGAACTACTCTGTCAATGAACTTGTATTGTTTGTGTGTGTAAACTTTGTTTTGCTTCAATTCGAAGAGATACTCAAATACGTCCATCTTTTTATTCTAAGTAAAATGTCATTTCCGAAAAATAGAAGCGTAAGTGTTTCAAAAGGTTTAATGGCGATGGCAGATGTGAAGTTAAATTCACCAACTCAAACAAACAGTCAAAGTGTTGTTGTCAATGTCAAAGAAAGAGATGTTGAAGTGGGGAAACCATACGAAGACCAAGATGGTATAACAATAGTTCCTGTAAAAGAACAACCAACATACCCTGAAGTTAGCAGAGACTTAAGTTCTGTTGCAGATATTCGAAACGACTACCAACAACTGAAAGACAAACTTCAAACTCAGGAGAAGATTTGTCAAGCTTTAGGTATAATGTTAAACTTGGTCGAACACAACCCTGTAAAAGTGAACTCATATGTCATTGCACCTCATGAAGTTTTGAAAGAACTATTGAAACTTTTGACAGAGGCAGACGATATAAACATCAAAGAAATAGAACCCGACGTTAGTTGCTGTGGTGTTTCATATAATGTCATTGACAAGATATACGTTATGAAAGGAGGTGAAACGTTGAACTTAAAATATAGTTTCCCAGACGTTATAAAAATATTTGACGACCACAACATTTCATTAAAATTTATTTGCTAAGTAAATGGCAGAAGACATAGTGGTTTATACTATTACGACTAAAAACCCTGAGTCATATAATTCTATAACAACAAACTTACAAAGTCCTCAAGGACGGTATTGTAAAACTAACCTTAAACACAATGACGACTAAAGCCTGTTTTGCTCTTTTGACACCAGAAGACTTTATTGTTGTGAATGGTAAAAAATACTTCTTTGAAGATACTTACTCAGATATACCACCAACAGGTTTTTGTTGACTTATTTAATACTTTAAGGACGAGTGTAACATGTGCTGCAACTAGAGCAGGTTTCATTATGTTTGGATGTCCGACTGAGTTTACTATAAACAATATGAGCTATAATACAAAACTTATTTCTGGTTTTTACTACCAACAGTTTCCTATAACAGGAAAAGGTGTCATACAAGGAATGTCTGTTCCATTGACTTTAAGTACACCCATTTTATATATTGTTTCAAACTTAGGTTCAAAGTGCTATTCGAATGTTGACAGAAACTACTATGACCAAAAGATAACTCATGCGTATAAACAACACTTTCTCTGCTGGTTTGCCATTGTTCATTCGAATGCAGAGTTTTCAGCTTTAGTAAACTCAAACACTTTAGCAAACATAAACTTAACCTTAGTTGACGCAAACTTTGTTCCTGTAAAAACTTTTATGTCCTATGTATTTGTCAATGACGGCAGAAAGTTTCGAATTGGAAGATGCAACTGGTGAAAGTATTGTACTACAAGAACAAACTTCAACAACAAATAGCTCAAGAACAACAAATGCAACAAATAGCTCAAGAATAAAAAAAATATTTTTTTTATTTTTATAAAAATGTACAGAATAGATGTTTCAGATTTTTATGACTTCCAAGCCTTCAGAAATATGTGTCCATTTAGAGACTATAACAAAGCAGTCGAGAATTTGAAACGTTTAGTCATTTATGTCGACTCTGCCCCAGAATGTTATGTTATGAAAGAATGGGATGTTGTCTTTAACAAACCAAGAGCAACCATAGTTTCAGAACAAGAATGTAAACAGAAACTTAAGAAAATAAAAGTTGTACAAGTTGGTATGAAGATGTAGATGCTTGGGATATCTTATTCAAAGTTAGAAGAATTTTTTCAGTTCGTGGTATAAAGTTTTATACACCATCTCCAAACTTCTATTCTATCTTCACTGGATATAAATACGAACAAAGTAGAATGGAAAGAAAAATGTTATAGAAGCTTGGTTAGACCATGTCAAAGAAAAATTATATGCAATGGAAACGAAAGATCTATGAGTATATCTTATGTTGGTTTGCAACATCTTACAACATCCAAGTGCTAAAAATGAAACTGCTCTCATTATAATTGGAAAACAAGGAACTGGTAAGAACACATTCTTTACAGATATCTTATGCAAACTGTTAGAGGGCTATTCGAACCGAATATGACAAACATAGAAAACATCTGCGGTAAATTTAACTCTTCAATAGAGAATATGAAACTTATAGTATGTAACGAACTTCAAAGTAATAGATACAACAAAAGTTTTAAACTCAGATGCTTTGAAGAGTCTTATAACAGACAAAGTTGGAGTTGTTGAAAGAAAATATAAAGACCAAAGAGTTTGTGAAAATGTTGCAAACTTCGTCATGGTTTCAAACAATGTTGTTCCGATGAAGTTAGAAAGTTCTGACAGAAGATATGTAGTTGTCAGAACGTCAGAAGCTCATATGCAAGATACAGAATATTTTGACGACTTAGCAGAAACTTTGACATCTGACTTTTACAACCACTTGTTCTCATATTTCATGACATTAGATATTTCTAAGTTCAATCCAAGACCAAATTCCACATACCGAAGAAGACAAACATTGTTAGAAGCAAACAAGAGTGTTTATGAACTGTTCATAGAAGAAAATGACTTTGAGTGTTTAGATGAAAGGTCATTGTACGATTCGTATAAACAGTATTGTCAAGAGTATGGTTATATGGCAGCGTCTAAACGAACATTCTTGGCAAATGTCAAAAATCTTTTAGATGTTCAGAACGGCGTATATAAAAAGAAAAATTTTTCTGAGTAAATTTTAAAAAAATATTTTTTTATCCGATAGAAAAGATGGCAAAATTCATCTCAGTAAACAAGTACATGACAGAAGTCAAAGAAGAACTAGACCCATTCGCATATTTGAATGTTTACTTCTACCATTTTGAAAAGTCTACATTTGACAAAGTTTGGAACATCGAACCAGTTAAGTTTTGCTATTGTGACTAAAAATGGTGCGAAATTTGAAGACTTAGACATTGACGGTATGTTGACAGTCAAAGAAAATTTGACAGAAAGTTCTCAAAACTCGAAGAAGGCAAAGCATACAAACTTGTTATACCTTATGAACCAAAGAAAGCAGACGACTATGAATATTATGAGCTAAGATAGTTGAAGTTCAAGGTAAATTGGGTAAAAAGATTTTAGAGTCTAAACCAGTGTTGCTCCTAAAGAGGAAGAGAACATTGACATTGACCCAGAAATGTTCTAAAAATAAAATTTATTTTTACATGTCAAATTTCTTCTTCTTGCTCTGGTTCAGGTTCTTTCTTCTCTTCTTCTACTTTCTTTTCTTCTTCTCCTCTTCTTCTTCTTCTCTGGTGGAGTTATGTCAAACTTCTCAGAACCATATTTTGTAAAAGGTCTTTGTCCTTTAATAGCTCTTCTATTCTGTTTTCTATTTCATCTTCAAGAACAGCGCATGTGTCTTCTTTGCATTCTAAGAACTTTTGTTGGACTTCAGCTTTCCAATCGGCGTCATCTCTGTCAACAAGTCTGTCATTGACAAATTTTAAGACTTCTCTGCTTAATGTTTTATGGTTCTTGTCATATTCCCAGAAACAGAACTTTAGAACAAATTCACCTTTCTTGTTTACACTATGTAAGATTTTATGGCTACAGATGTTTTGCTGTCGAAAAGCTTGTCTCGAATATAGATAGCGAAATCGCTAGACATTTCCTAAAAGATAAAATTTTTAATTTTTCTAAAAAAATATGTTAGAAAAAAAAGTTTGCTGACATTGACAAGAAATTTGAGAATGTTTTAAACAAGAACAAGAGGAAGTTAGAAATGCTCAGATAAAGCCTATACATGACAAGTTCTTATTTGCTCAGAATGGTATAACAGGTCTAATTGCACCACCTGGGTCGGGTAAGACTTTCACTTATCTTAAAATGGCTGCACAACAACAAGAACTAGTGAGAAGAAACCCATTCTATGAGTTAGTTGTTATTTGTAGTACTTCTGGTCAATTTGACCAAACCGTCAATTCGTTCAAAGATATTATAAAAAAGTCTAAGTATGTATGTATAAAAGACTCTGAGTTGTTAGATTGGATAAAGAAGTACCAAAGAAGAGTTTTGAAGTACAATGCTATAAATGAGTATATAAATTCTAAGTTTAAAGACCCAAATGAGGAAATGCAGAGAATATTAGAGAAGAAACACTTCAGAAACAAACAGAAAGAGATAGAATACATTTCGAAGAAATTGCAATCTTACGATTGGAAGACTTACCCTCACAGATGTCTTCTTATCTTAGATGATTTCGCCTCTCATCCTTTGTTAAAGAACAGAGAACAAGATATGTGTCGAATTCTTAAGAAGCTCAGACACTTTAACATCTCAGTTGTCATTTGTGTACAGACAGCAAAGAGTTTAAGTAAGGATGTTAAAAGAATACTTACTGACATTGTACTTTTCCCCGGATTGTCCGAAGACGATTTCATGGAACTTATGAAAGAGTCCATGGCAGGTAAGTTTGACAGACATGAACTATGGGAGAAGTACAAAGTCATACAAGACCCTCATACTTCTTTCAGAATTCATATCTACGCAAACAAAGTTCAAATTGTAAAAAGTCAAGCGTAAAAAATAAAGAGTTCATTTACTCTACTTGTTTGAAGTTGTCAAAATACTCTGTTATTTTTCACGATTTTCATACGGAATCTCTTCTCTCAGTTTTTTCGAGGGTAGCAAGCATATGAGGAAATTCATGAAATTTGGTCATTTTTCAGCAAAAATAATGTTTCGGTGAAGAGGTGAGATTTCACCTGTTTTTTCACCTCTTTTTTCACCTCTTGAATTTTGTATAAAAGATATGATTTCAGGGATTTTTTTTACGAAGTGTCAAAGTTCTCTTCGTCACTCATAACAGTTATATAATGAAATTTGGTCATTTTACTCAGAATTCAGCAAAAATATAATTGAGGTGAAGAGGTGAGATTTCACCCATTTTCTCACCTCTTTTCTCACCTGTTTTTTCACAAGCGTTTTACATGAATTGTACGATGTATATTTGAAATCCTGAACAGTTTTGTAGCTTCTATTTCTTCACGAAGGATATCAAAAGTTTTAACAATGCCGAATGTTTCTTTATATTTCTTCTTGACGTCAGATAGAAGGAAATCGTCAGCAGTTGGATAGTTTTTGTTCAGAAATGTCAACATGTCCATTTTATCTTCTGCTGGTTTCTCTACTTCTTTCTTTAAATCTGCATAGTCGTTTCGCATACGTTCTATCTCTTTGACGGAGTAGTTATATTTCCTAATTGCTGCTTTACATTTAGAACATTGCGGGTTCATTTTTGCGTTATATTCTGAAACCTTACCTGCTAAAACAACTAAGGCGTCAATTGCTCTCTTCATCTCAAACATAGCGGGTCTTATTTGTTCGTTCCATACCTTACCTCTTCTATCTTTATCTCTTATCTGCCATACACATTCAGCAACTAACGAAACAAAGTTGTCGTAGGTCTTAAACTCCCCAGATTTATATATGTCAGAGATGTTCTTATATACCATGTCGCAATCTTTGTCCATGACTTTGTGGTTGCAATGAAATCCAAGAAACTCATAGTTTACCTTACGAATGAACTTCTTTATTTCTACCGAGTCAGTTGCTTTGACTTCTATTTCATCGAATTCTGGAATAGTAAGCTTTTGTTGTTGTATTTCAGGAAGTTTAGGTAGATGGTCAATAATATCCTGCATTTCATAAAGATATTGTTCATCTGTTTCATCTTTTGCAGTGCAATCTAAATCTCCTTGGAGAAGTTCTTGCTTTATCTTCTGGATTGTTGTTTCGAAAGTATATGAAGAAGGAATGAAGCTTTTCATCTCTACTAACATTGAAGTTGGGTTCATGACTAACGAGTTTGGTGAAGTTGTTGCTAACATGTTCTTACAATAAAAATAAAAAAAAATATTTTATAAAAAACTAAAATATATTTTTTATCTTAAGGAAATTCATGAAAATCCAACGGGTGAGAAAACAGGTGAGAAAACGGGTGACATCTCACCTCTTCACCTAAAATATATTTTTGTCGAAAAAAATGGTTCATTTACTCACAATATTTTTGTACAAAACGACCCCAAACTTTTAACTTCTTTTCTGCAGCTTCTAATGCTATCTTGGCGAGTTCATATTCTCTAAATTCTCTCTTTAAATCTTCTTGTTCCCATTGGTCTAGTTCGTATGGCGAGTCTCTATAACCAGAACATATCTCACGTTCATGTTCTAATTGTTTTTCGCACATTTTTCTAACTTCTTCTTCGAACAAAGGTTTAGCATTCTCTACTGTATCTTCAAGTTCTTCTTCATCTAATTTCTCATGAACTTTCTTGTCTATGGAGTCCAGAATTTTTCCAACTGCTATACAATATTTTGGAGAAGCCCACATTGCTATATAGTTTACAAGTCTTGGGTCTACATACATTCCTCTAACCTGTTTGATTTCATCAGGAATTCCTGCATGAATTTTGTATAAAAAGCAACCCGCTGTTTTCCGCGGGTTGGTATATTCTTCACAAAATGCCTCAAAATACTCTTCCCAGGACTTATTTTCCAACAACCTTCTAAAGTCCTTCCTAAACTGCTGACACATATTTGTTGCATTTATATAACCATCCTTGTCTCTACGTAAGACTTCAATACCGTTGTAAGTGCCTTTTGTGAATGTTTCGCCATTAGATTTGTTCGTGAACGTTTTTGCTTCGACTGTCATTTCAGTTCTTACAATAAAAATAAAAAATATTTTTTTAAAAAAACCAACCCGCTGTTTTCCGGCGGTTGCTTTTTATACAAAATTCAAGAGGGTAGAAAAGAGGTTAGAAAAGAGGTTAGATATACCCATCTACCCTAAAATATATTTTTCAGTACTTTTTCAGCACTTTTCCGTAGTTGTATATGAAAGACAATTCGAGATAAAAGTCATAGTACAATGGTATAATATGCTGCACACCGTTTGTTGTGAACCAAACTTGAAAGTCAGAGAAACTGTTACTAGGTGGTTCGTAGAATTTAGAAGCAAAGTCATAAAAGTCCTTACCAATACAAAGAAAACTATTGTTGCTTGAACTGAAACTTGCATGACACATAACATTTTGAGGGTCAAACACGTTTCTATAAACTGTCAAATCTGCTGGTGGACGTATAAATTTAAACGGACCGTCAGGTGGCAATGGTTCGTTCTGGTTTAGTAACCGAAGAAATTGTGCCCAAGAACGTTTGTCTACTTCCCAAAATAAAAACTGTGTATCTCTTGGAGGGTTATTTTCAATCCTTTGAAATGAAACTGTGGAGTTCATCTTGTCATATTCTAGTTTCAGATAGTATGTTCCATTTAGTAAAGAGTCGTATTTTTCTTGAAATTCCCAATAGTATTTGTTTATTTGAGTTTGAAAGTCATTTAGAGTTTTCTCAAGACTTTCGTCTGAACGAATTGTAAAGATTCTCATTTCGTCAAATTTGTCTATTAGACCATTAGGACCTTTATATTGCCCATGAAAATATACTGCGAACATAAACGCGTTAGTTCTATTTGAAAACAAAACTCTTCTAAATCCTATTGCCTTTGCATCTGAAGGACTTTGAAGCCAGCGAATTGGATAGTTAAATCTATATGCTCCGGATGAAATTTCTTCATCTGATATATTCCTACCAGCGTTTGTAAAGATATAGTCTAACGGTTTTGTATCTGCTACTTTTGTTCTTTGTTTTTCAACCTGAAGCATTTAATATATGTAAAAATATACTGTTTTAAAAACGTTTTAAAATGGTATGCCATATAGCTTCTTGAATTTGTTGAGAAATATATGAACGTGTTTTCCATCTGTATCTCTAGCGTTTACATGAGCACAGCCATCCTTAGTAAAATATACTTGTAATTTTCTATAGTTTACGCCGGTATAAAGGTAGAAAGAGTCCTGTTCTTCGCTATAGTAGTAAAACTCAAACGTATGCTTGCCATAGTCTGTAATTTCAATTGTTTCATCTTCTAGTTCGTCGACAAATTCGAATACAATATCTCTAAATTTGCTTTTGTTCTTATTGTTTTCAGAACAAGTGACCCAACGTAAGTTTTCAAGTCTATTGTCGTTTCTTATACGGTTTATATGGTCTACAAAAGGTAAATTGTTAGGGTTTGGTATAAAATGAGTTGCAATGACAACATGTTTAAGATAGTGTTTTCCACCAATCCTCATCCTAGCATATCCGTCATTTTGCTCCCATTCGCTTAAAACTCTTTTTGTCTTTTTGTTTCTAACTTCAAAAGGCTCAGAACAGTGAATTTCATATTTCTCATCTAACAAACAAGTTTCCCAACGGTCTTCTCCAACAAACTCAGCGTACATTTCAAATAAAATAAAAAAATATTTTTTTGAAAAAATGTTTTGTTTTAAATGGTATGCCATTTCATACTCTTCATCTAACAAACAAGTTTCCCAACGGTCTTCTCCAACAAACTCAGCGTACATTTCAAATAAAATAAAAAAATATTTTTTTTTCTTTACTTTACGTAACCACCAGCTACCATAAGTCTTTGACGCCAACCCATACCAGCTAATGAAGGTTGACTTGGTTTAGTTTGGAAACTAAACTTTGGTTTTGGTTTATCTTCAGTTTTTGGCTCCCCTTCTTCTATCGGTCTTTCGTCACTTTTCGGTTCACCTGACTTTACTTCACTTGCAGGTATGGTTGTGTCGTCAACATCTTCGTAAATATCATATGCCATTTGTTTTTGTTTTCCTTTCAACTTTTTGTGTTTGTTGTAAAGTTTAGAATATTTCGACTCTAAGTCAATGAGATGTTCTATAATGAACTGTTTGTCAGTGAAGTAAACTTTTCCATCTGTTGTCTCGAAAGCTCCTTCAGACTTCAATATTTTATTTGTGAGAGTCTGTTTCTTTTTTGAGATACTAGCCGTTCCATTTCTATGAAAAGTGACTTTATAGTTAGGGTTTGTATTTCCAGACCTGGCACTTTCTATTATTGAATTTTTCTCTTCATCTGTAAGTTCTTTGACAGGTTTTGACAATGGTTCTGAACTTTTTGTTTGTGGTGTCAAATCTACCGTTTCAACTTCTTCGGTCATTTCATCTCAGTAAAAAATTTTAGTTTGGTTTGTTTTCAACTGGTTGTTGTTGTTTTTTAAGTCGGTCTAAAACTTCCTGAGGTATAGGAAGAACTTGACAAACACGTTGTGTAACTGCTGGAAGTCGACAAATCCATCTTGAACCCATTTGTCTCAATGCTGTATTGTTCATTTCATCTCAGTAAAAAAATTTACATTCCCCAAGTTTGAGGCGGTTGCGGTTGGTTGTTGTTTACCCACTGTTGTGCATGGTTATATCCTCTGTTAAAGAATCTTTCACCTTGGTCCATGTAGTGTCCTGCTTGGTTATAGTAGTCATTTGCTTTGTTATAGTAGTTTCCTGCTTGTCTTCCTACATTGTCCATCCATCCTTGAACTTTTCCTCTTGTTTCAGGATTTGGAATAAGATTTGCTGCATCTCGTGCTACATCCCAACCTTTCTGTACAGTTTGTATAATAGGTTGTGCTTTCTCTTTAAGTATACCTAATGTACTCAAAATCTTCCTTCCAATTCCAAATGCACCTCTGGCTATTGTTCCCACTGCGGGCAAAAATCTGGATGCAACTCCTGCTAATGCGCCAAATAAACCCATTTCTTATGGGGTAAAAATGACGAATCCAAACAAGGACCCGTATGTTTCTAAAGCAACAAAGAAAGCACTCATGGTAAAAATCTTTAGTTCAACACCAAATGCTTGGTTTATGGATATCTTGGAAAACATTCCGAGGTATAGAGAAGATGGACCACCATACTGGCTAATATTTGTCGGTCAAAACACAAGATACTGTGAAGCCATACCATTACAGTCCAAAAATATTTTAGATGTGAAAACTGCTTTGACAATCTTCGTTGACAAATACATCCAACAAAACTGACATCTGACTGTGAACGTTCTTTCAAATCAGACGATATTAAAAACTATCTGCGTTCAAAAAATGTAACCAATATTTCATTGTCGACCAAAACCATTCTGCTCTTGGTGTCATTGACAGTTGTATAAAAATCTTAAGAGACTTAAACCAACCACAAAGTGGTGAAGCAAATGAAATGTCATATGACGACAAATATAGACATTTCTCCATGGCAAAGATGAGACAAGTTTTAAATATTTACAATAACCGTAAACAAAAAGGTTTGGGAAAACTCCCCCGAAGAAATGAAAAACAACCCGACTTAGAGAAAGACTATATATTTAATAGTTTAGTCAAAAGAGACAAACAAGAAAGAATGCCAGGCTTCAAACTTAAGAAAGGTGACAAAGTAAAAATAGAAATACCTAAACGCGACCCATATGAAAATACTATTGACTATGACAACAATGGGAACTCGACAGGTACTCACATTCGTGTTCGTAAAAATAGAAGAAAGTATACAAGAGAATATTATGAAGTTTTAGGCAAACATGGCAAAATGTACACACTGCAAGCAGAAGATAAAACTACTATTGTCAGACCTCGTTTCAAACTTGTCAAAGTTCAAGGTGGTATACTTTCAAAGACAGTTCCTAACAAATATAAGACAACTCCTGACGAATATGCTAAAGAAGTTGAAAATGACGACTAAGCAATTCTATACCATGCGTAAACTGTCATGTAAGGTGGCATGTAGTCTTTACTTTGTCCCGTTGTTTGTGTATACCCTGAAACGCGATGTGTATGGTTTCCTTCTCCCTGTGTGCTACCCCAGAAACAATTTATAGCAAACTGAACGTCGTCTTTAACATCATATCCTTTACCTTTTTTCATTGCTGACCAATCCCAAAATCTATGCTTATGCCAACCTGCTTCAGATGTACTTAAATCTATGTAGTGACTGTGCGCAGGTAAATTTGCACCTGAAATCGTTTTACTTCCACCTGTTTCCTTTGAAGAGTTTGCACAATACAAAAACCTGTCGACTATTTGAGTCCAAGTTCCAAAACCAAGTACTACTTCTGGTTTGGTAGAGTTCATTGACGTGTAAATAGAACCTATAGGATATACTGTTTGAAGTATTTCTGTCTTTAACGTTTGAAGCTCTGTTTTGTCAGCTTTTTTATCATATAAATCTTGAGCAGTGAATTTAACATTGTTTTCATCCTCCATGACATAGACATTTCTACATCTAGTGTATTTCATCGTTGTTATGTCATCCTCCGATGTTAAACCTTGTGGAAAGTTAGGAGGTTTCCAATTTAATACATCCCCACCAGTTTCTTCAACCGTTCCTTCAATATTTTCTATACCAACAGTTGCGAAGAAATCGTGTGTATGGTTCTTATCTGCCTTCTTTTCAAGGCTAACGTTTAAGTCTGTTATTTCAGAAGATGTATGTGTATGTCCAACGTCACTTTTCCTGTTTAAGGTTTCTTGTAAGTTTGTAATATTTGCAATGGTATGTGTATGTCCAACGTCACTTTTCCTGTTTAAGGTTTCTTGTAAGTTTGTAATATTTGCAATGGTATGTGTATGTCCAACGTCACTTTTCCTGTTTAAGGTTTCTTGTAAGTTTGTAATATTTGCAATGGTATGTGTATGAGTCTTTTTAGAATATTCTTTGTCAGCTCTTGTCACTTCACTTGACATTTTATTGTCAACATATGTTTTGTCCGCTAGTTCAGGATGAGTATGTTCTTTCGTTGCATATGTTGCATCTGCTCTGTCATGTTCTTCTTGAACTTTTTCAATGACATACTCTTTGTCAGCTTTGTTGTCAACATCTGCTTTCAAAAGAAGTTCTTTTATAGGCTTCTCGTTTAAAGTTCCTTTTGTTGGATTTACACAAACAGTATGGTTCTTACTGTCTTGAAACAGAAACTCGTCTGTCAATGGGTTTATCGTCAGTTTTAAGTTTCCTTCTTTCAATGACTCAGATATCTTAGAATAGTTTGAAAAGTTTGTTGTGTTCTTATTTAGAGCTTGCAAAATGAGTTGTCGGTTGTGTTGTATTTCTCTCATAGACGCTGTTTCTTTTCGACATTTTTATTCTAGATAAAATATGCTTTCAATAGAAAAAGAAAATTCTAGAGTTGCTACAACTAAACCATTAGATGAACTTTTTACGAATGTCGGTCAAAAGTTTGAGACAGAGACCGTAAAGCATGAAGGCTATCGTTTTGACTACCCGTTAAGATGGCTAAGAGACCCATCCGTCACAAAAGCTATTGGCTTTCGTAGAATGAAATTCATTTCAGAAGCCATACATGGTTTCCCATTTACGGTCGCTTTTGAAATTCGATACTATAACAAAGAGAAACGTACGTATGAGAAATTTGAACAGGGAAAACTTTTACAAGTGAATTTGCTTGTAAACTTAGAAACAACTCTTCAAGCTTTTCAAGAAAAAATAAACGATATCTATCTCGAATATGCAAAACAGTACAACATTGACGAAGGAGAGTACCATCTCGATATTATATATGACAGGAAAAATGCAACTGTTAAAATCAATAGAATAGAAGACCTTGGAGAAGACGTTTATATTTCTACAAAATATAACAACTTGGCATGGTATAGGTTTCTGAGGATGTTAAATCAGCCTGCAGAATATCCAGTACACCCGGACTTTTATGAAGTCGAAAACCCTAATGGAACATATGAAAATGTTTTCGACTCAGATGCTATTATAGTTCATGCTTCATTTTCTGGCGCCCAAAACTCTTTTTTATGCTTGGCAAATGACTTTTACGAAAAACCTACAAAGCTATATGAACCACCGAGTGGAAGTATTTCAGACTTTCAAGTATGGTTTACAACAGATGGAAGAAAGAGAATAGTTCCATTATACCACGCGTTTTACTTAGAACTTAGTTTCATATACAACTACTATCGAACGGTAAAAAATATAATTTTAATACGGTTGAGGTGTTGGATTTGGTTGCCAACTAGACTGTGGTGCAGGTTCAGGCTGTTGTATAACAGGAGCTTGTTCTTCTGGTTCAGGGTCTTTAGGTATAATACCAACGAACTGACCTACTCTTTTACCAATATTTTTGACTCCGTTCCAAATTCCTCTTCCTACGGTTTTTATTCCATTCCATATACCTCTTCCAACATTTCGAAAGAAGTTTCCAATACTACTGAAGAAACCCATTTTACTATATGTAAAAATCTAATGTCCACCTAGTCTCTTACGTTTCCTTCTGAGTTCCATTGCATTCTTTAACTGGAGCTCATACATTCTATTTCTCCTCTGGTAGAAAACATATTCTGGGTCAACTCCTGTGTTCGCGTCATCTGCATAGAGTTGTTTATATCCCACTTCAGGGTTTGTATAAAACTCTTTCCATCTCATATTTGCATACCATGGTGGTAAGCCTAACGCAGCGTCATTTGACATGGCAGTTTGCATTTGTACATCTGTTGGCACTTGACCATAGTTTGCCATTGCAGTTTGTATTCTAACTTCATTTGGAATATTCTCTGGGTTTGGTTGTCCAGGTTGCTGTGCATTCGCTAAGTTCTGTGCGTCCATTTAATATTAGATAAAAATATCTCTTACGAGTACATATACTGGACATTTGCAGGCATTGGTTCATCTTCATATTCTCTATATCTTTCTGCCACGTCAAATAAGTAAATGACACAATGGAAAAAACCTAAAACAAGTAGTCCTATTTCAAACCACATTTACTTACCAATAAAATTTCTTTGTTATGACACTTTTTCCGGTTTATAGGACCTCTCTCATATTCTATCTTGTCATATATAAACTCATAGTCATGTATGTCCTCTAACCATCTCATGACACTTTCCAAACCACTTTTATCGGATGTAAAGTAAAAGCATGGATGGTTATGTAAAACGTCTAAAGTTTCTAAAGAGTCTCTCAAAGTCCAGTCTGCTTGGTATTGAAAATCGTATGTGTTAAAGAACGGCGGGTCCACTATAAAGAAAACATTTTCCTTGTCTTTATATTTTTCATACAACTCTGTCCAATAACATCTCACAAACTCTATACCCTCAATATATTTTTCTATGTCCTCTTTGAAAACATTTGTATAGTTAAGATATAAAACTTTTGACATAAGTGTTTCAATGTCATGAACTCTTATAGCACCACTATATAATAGTCTAGAAGATATACTATCCCAGTCAATATACTCTGCTTTTTTCAAAACCTCTCTGACAGTATTTTTCTTATCTAATGGTATACGTTCCATCTTACCTATAGGTATCTTTTCTTTTAACTCTTTCAATATTTTGTTAGTGTCTGGTATATGTTTGAGACGGTCCATATAGTTGTCGAAGTCATTGCATATAATCTTTGAGTCAGGAAATACAGTATGGCACAAATGAGATATATAGAAACTTCCACCGAACAAATCTACAAATGTTAGACCATTCGGTAGTTTCTTAAGTTCTCTCAATAGAATATCTTTACATCTACTCTTATTTCCAAAGAAGGGTAACGGTGGTTTTGTAAAATTCATTTTATATATATATAATAAAAATGTTTTTACCTGAAAAGTGACAGAAAAGTGACAAAACATGAAAACATATATATTTTGTGAAAAGCTCCTGGAAGACCCGTATATAAGAACTTCAGATGGAACACATACTTTTTCAGTAAGGACATATGAGGTGAGATGTCACCTGTTTTCTCACCTCATTTCTCACCCGTTGAATTTTCATGAATTTCTTCGTAAAGACTTTGTTAAGACTTCTTCGTAAAGACTTTGTCAAGACTTCTTCGTAAAGACTTTGTTAAGACTTCTTCGTAAATGACCAAAAATATATTTTAGGTGAAGAGGTGAGATTTCACCTCTTTTTTCACCTCATTTCTCACCTCTTGAATTTTCATGAATTTCTTCGTAAAGACTTTGTTAAGACTTCTTCATCTAATTTCTCATGAACTTTCTTGTCTATGTTTTGTTGAGATTTCTTCGTAAAGACTTTGTTGAGATTTCTTCGTAAATGACCCTAGTAGTATATTTTTGGTGTAAATTTCATGAAAATTCAAGAGGGTGAAAAATTAGGTGAAAAAATAGGTGAAATCTCACCTCTTCACCTAAAATATATTTTTGGTGTAAAATTCAAGAGGGTGAGAAATTAGGTGAAAAAACAGGTGAAATCTCACCTCTTCACCTAAAATATATTTTTGGTGTAAATTTCATGAAAATTCAAGAGGTGAGAAATGAGGTGAAAAAACAGGTGAAATCTCACCTCTTCACCTAAACATTATTTTTGTCTGATTTTACGAAGAAGTCTTGACAAAACATTTACGAAGAAGAAGTCTTGACAAAACATTTACGAAGAAGTCTTGACAAAACATTTACGAAGAAGTCTTGACAAAACATTTACGAAGAAGTCTTGACAAAACATTTACGAAGAAGTCTTGACAAAACATTTACGAAGAAGAAGTCTTGACAAAACATTTACGAAGAAGAAGTCTTGACAAAACATTTACGAAGAAGAAGTCTTGACAAAACATTTACGAAGAAGAAGTCTTGACAAAACATTTACGAAGAAGAAGTCTTGACAAAACATTTACGAAGAAGAAGTCTTGACAAAACATTTACGAAGAAGAAGTCTTGACAAAACATTTACGAAGAAGAAGTCTTGACAAAACATGAAAACATATATAATTTGTGAAAAGTGAAACATTATATAATGTTTTCGACCAAGAAGACTAACAATTTTCCGAATAAAAACTTCATTTATACTAAACATCTTCGGGGCTAGAAGGGGCGCAGCCCCTGGAAGCCCCACTACCTTTTTTTTTTTTTTTTTTTTTTTTTTTTAAATATACGTATCTGTGATTTTTATTCTATAAATCTAGGATTTTTTATCTTTTTAGAACAATAGACTTTGCTAATGATTCGTTCAAGGTAGTTTTATAATCAATATATGATGCAATTCCCGAATCAAATCAACTTTCATTGATATACTCAAAATCAATATAAGTTTTTTTATGAATTACTCCATTAACTTAGGATACATAATGATGCTTCTACTCTGATCAGGCTTTTATTCAAAATATTAAGGGTTCACTTACTACTTTCTGACATTCTCTTAATTTTTTTTGACATTCTAGTTTTTTTATCCGATTTTTCTAAGGTAAAAAGTCATTAACTTTGTTCGGGAAGAAGTTATTTTAAATCACTCCTTAGTACCTTATATTAATATTATACTTTTTTTGCAATCACAATAAAGATATATTGATATTATGGGAGCATGTCAGAAAGTGGTAAGTGCACCCTTAAGGGTACACGGTACATTTTCAATATTATTCAAAAATTGAATGCTAAAATGAGAAGAGAGAGGGTCAAAGTTGCTATTTGTCACTTTTCCACAAGAATATAATGGGGAAAAAGTTATCATATAGTTGATCTCATTCACTGAGGTGAGAGATGCATGTAGTGTCATGTGATAAACAGTGGGATTGCTGCTCTAAGTCCTAGGTTCGAGACACATTGGCTTCATTTTTCTCTTTTTTATTGACGTAAACTATTCAATTTTTGTGTTCTCCATTCAAATTTCAGAATTTTTTTTGCAGATTTCACGCTACATTCGAAGTTACCTTTTGTAACAACCACCACTGCCTACGAAAGACGAAAGTGTGTCACGATTTCACCCGGAAATCCGACGGTTGTTTAAGAGTAAGCACTTTTGGCACCTACTCAAAATGAGAATTATCGTTATCGTCTTCAACTTGAATCGATTTTTTGGAGCTTCTTGGTTAACGAAATTCAAAAATTATATTAAAAATAGTATACAAATATGATATCAAATCAGAATCTATAAATAGATATGGGTCTTTCCATATAAATTTTGAACATTAACGATAGCCTTCGCTTGGCCGGACCGTGGACCCTTAAAAAAATGATGTGATGCATCATTGAACATTAATGAAGAATATGTTTTAAAAAAACATAAGCTAGTTTGAAATCAATCATATTCACATGATCACTATATTTTACTGAGATACTCACAAACGGTGCCTTCATTCACAGAATCATTACATTGTTTTCTTATATTTTTCAAAGGTAGTCTCACGAAAATACGTTATTTTTCCGATGCCTTGGATTCAGCTTTGCAGGTTACCCGTAAGGTAACCAGTAGAAGTTTCTGAGCAAGGATGAAGAAGATTAAAGAGCCTTTTTATTGCAAACGCTATATTTGTATGTGTCTTTGTAGAACTTCTCATAAATTCAAAGATTTCCAAAAACGAATTTTTCGATTTTGATATAATAAATGATATTTAAAGAAATTATAGATGTGTTTGCAATTAAAAAAATCAGAGTTAACTACAATATCTTCAATTTTTGTCGTTCACTTTTTCATGTCATACTGATAGCAAGAATACTCACCCAATTTGGTTACACTTCATGATAGTTTGAAGTAAAAAAGGCCACAGTTTTTTTTATTTGATATCGTTATCTTAATTTTGTACAGAAATGAAATAAATTATAATATGAAACGTGTGTTATTATGCTTGTTGGGAAACAATCCAATACTTATGTCTGAATGAAATGATTATTTCTACGAGATTTTTCATATTCAGCTAATAATGCTATCAAAA